ATGGGTTTGACTATAGAATTTTCATACATATATATATATAAAATACACTGATCATAATTAGTCCCATGACCTTCTGGTCCCCTCTTACTGGTCACCTCAATCCCTCTGTCTCTGTCTCTGTCCATCTGTCTGTCTCTCTCTTAAATGTAGATTTCTCATAGGAGAGAAAACATGCAATATTTTTATTCTTTTTTTCTATTTTTTAAATTTTTATTGTGAAAATACTGTACAGAGGGGTTTCAATTACATGGGCAAGATAATGAGTACATTTCTTATTAAGCATTGTATCCTCCTCCTTTGTTTCCCCTTCCCATCACTTCCCATCCTCCTCCCGCCCCCCCACCTAATCCTCCCCCCCCACCAAAGAGTTGTAAAGTTTGTTTTTGACATGACAACTTGTACTTCTCATTGTTGCAACGGGTCCACCTGTATCCTTATTTAAACGACTTGTTTTTCCCCTTCCCCTAATATTTTTATTCTTATGTCTGGTTTATTTTGCTTACATTTTAAATTATTTTTGTAACTCATTATATCACATTCTAAATCTTTTGTTGTTTCACAAGCAGAACTGCCTGGATTAAAATGTATTTTATGCATAGTTTGTGAGTAATAAGAGCTACTTGATGAAAGTTTTGTTGAGTGATAGAACAAATGAATAAAATGAAATTTTTCACTTCCCCCAAAATACCAATCTTCCTTCCAAATCCAAATTAATGGGGAAAATATTAGTAAAAATATTCATTTCATCGAGCACCATAGAGCAGAAAGATTCAGATCTTTAATGAAAGCTTTCTTGAGAAAAGCAGATTTTACATGAAAAAAAAATTAGGCCAGAAAACCTTTTAGCTTTCCTCCAAGCCTCCTATAGCCATTTAACAGGTCTACTCTGTATTAGAGAAATAAAATCCATTTAGACAAAATTGTCTCTAAGGTAATGTTATTTTTTGAGAAAGCAAAGCATTATTGTACTTTCTTGGTTCTAGTAGTGGCTTATGGGAAATTGAGTTTTGTTTTACTTCATTGTTACCAGTTACCCAGTCAACTCTGAATCTTTCCCATGTCTATTTCCCTAATCCCCAAATGCATAATTGGAATAAATGTGACTTAGGCCAGAAATTCTCTCTTTTTCCCTAAGGATATGTTCTTTGAGTCTGAGGGTTGAAGACTGCTGAACCCTTATGACTCACTGTCATGTGAGAAATGAGATGGAATGAAAGAAGGTTAAGGGCTCGGGCTTTGTGATGAGATTAGGATCTTCTTTCATTTCATTGCACCAGAATTTTCTCTTCTTTATTTAGGTTGTTAGTGCAAAATCCAGCTGTTGTTCCAAAGAGAAAAAAGATTATTTACTCTAAGCCATATTTAGCTTGAGTGATCATAACCAAGTCAGCCTGAATGACCTGTGCCACTGAGGAAGAGTTTGTATGAACTTTGAACTTTTATCATCACAGAACAAAAGAAAGTCATGAAATCAGTGGGTTTACTGAATACATTGACAGGGACAGCAGGTAGGTAGGTTATAGGATTTTGGGGAAATCTACAAATGTCAGATGTCATGACATTGTTAGCTGTATGGTTGGTGAAAATGAATGGTCTGCTATGCTGAAAAATACATGAAAGTATAACATACTAGTCATAAAAATAGTAACTAAAGATACGGAAGTTGGTAGTAACTGGCGATAAGACTAAATACAGACAAGATTAGTTGTTTCTATCTGCAACATCTCATCTCTCCACAAAGTCCTTGCCAATCATTGTACAAGGTCTTCAACTCCTTGCTGTTTCTGGGAGCAAATAAAGTAACAAATAAAGACTGTGTATGCCAAGTGTTGGTCACAACATTTGATACACTTGTGCATGGTGCAGCAATGGGAATATTAATGGTCTACTTTCTTATGAAATATCATGTTTAATACTTCCTACTATGAATTATGACAATTTGTCATTGTGTCATCTCCATGTAATTATAATACTGTTTAATCTAATTTGAGCTTTGATTGCAAAATAAATGTAATGCAATGACTATGATGTACTTGTCTTACTATATCATTTTATTTTATGGGACTAGAGTCTATTTCCTATGGTATAATTTCCAATATTCCATTTTATACTATTCCAGTTATTTTTATCTTGTATTGTTTGTTTAGAGACGGTCTCAGCATGTAACCAAAGCAGATCTCTATTTTTCAGTCTCCTTGCTTTAACCTACCAAGTGTTGAAATTATACTGGTATTTCAGTATGCTCAACTTGTACCATTTGTTATTTTTATTTTTTAATCTATTTTTTTTAATTTTTGGTACCAGTCCTGAGCCTTGAACTCAGGGTATGGGCACTGTCCATGAGCTTTTGTGCTCAAGCCTAATAGTCTATCACTTGACCTACAGCTCTACTTCAAAAATTTTTGGTAGTTAATTGAAGATAAGAGTCTCATGGGCTTTCTTGCTCAGTCTGTCTTTGAACCATGATCCTCAGGTTTTAGCCTTCTGAGTAGCTAGGATTATAGGCATGAGCTACTGGCATTTGGCTTTCCACTTATTATAAAATGTAAGTTGAATCTTTTGAGAATCTTTTTAATGCTCTGAAGGATTCTCTTTTTAAAAAAGTGAAAAAAACTAGTAAATTTAGTGCAATAGAAGCATTAAGAGAAAGAGAAGAATATTTTTATCTCTAAATAAAAAGGAAACAAAATCTCTTTGTTCTCAGTGGTAATGCTATTCGTTGAGTGATGTTTTATCTGATTTTTTTCCTTGTCCCTGATAGTTTAAAAATCAAAGTAGAGGAAATATTTATTTACTTATTGGAGACAACAGAGGGGCAGATAAATAAAGAGGATCAAAGCTATGTGAGGTGGCTCACATCTGTAATCATAGGCATTCAGGAGGCTGAGATCTGAGGATCACAGTGTGAAAACAGTCAAGTCCAGACCAAAAAGGAAAAGTCCTTGGGATTCTTATCTTCAATTGACCACCAAAGGAAAACAAAAGAAATAAACAAAACAAAAAACAATACAACAGAAGTGGAGCTGTGGTTCCACTGGTAGGATAGTTAGCCTTGAGCACAAAAACCTCAGAGACAGTGCCCAGGCCCTGAGTTCAAGCTCCAGGACCAGAATACAAAACAATGAGGATCAATAAAAGCTTTCCTTCAGGGAAGCAAAGATTTTGTAAACCCTGTCTGACAAAATCCTTCCAGAAAGCTATCTCTTCATAGGATACTAGGAGAAAACTAATCAAGTGCCTATGATCACATTTTTAGATGCAAAGAATTTTAGATTATAAAAGAATAGCATTAATTAGCATTACTCTTTTCCTCTTAAATTATTCTTTTGTCCTTTTCCCTCTTTTTTGCCATGTATGATAAAGGCTCATGGCAATAGGATATGTTTGCATACTTTTTGATGCTTTGCAAATCCTTATTGTGTTTGGTATATTCTGTATATTGAGGATAATTAGAAGAGGGCTATTTTCCTTAAAGAGGGAGATGAAATTGTATCAGAGTAAATGTACCAGAAAGTCTCAACTAGAATTGGGAAGAGAACCCAGATTAATGGGTATGACATCCACATTAATATCCTCTGAATCTCTCTGTTGATTAGGTAAAAGGAAGAAAGAGTGGATAAAAGCAAACAAAAGCTTGTAGTAATTAAGACATATCCCCCTACTGGCAGAATATCCTGTTCAGATAGTACTACATCATTAGTCTGCTCATCACAGTATATCATTATGCAGAAAATTGTGCTTCTTATCAATGGCTTTAAGGAAATGGCTCTCATAAAACCCATGAGTCTGAGCTCTAGAATTGGATAGTTGTACTGTTTCCTGAAGAAATAATTTGGGCTTATTGAGAAAGTATGCATGGTTTGATTTTGCTACAAGAGAAGTAACACTTCACAATTTTTATTTCTTAACAGAGGAAAAAATCAAATGTTTTGTTTGTTATTCAGAATCAGATGAAAAGGAGATGCTATTTAAATCATTAATAGGTAGAATACTAAAGAACAATTGATGAATAAACCATAAGATTTTATTTAGTTGTATTTTTCTATTGATAATTAGATCATTTACCTTTATTTTCATAAGGAAAAAATGACCATGTGCCTTTATAGAATGAAACAAATTGCTTGAATTTAGTAATTTATCAATATAATGGAAAATGAATTTGAGAAGGGACATAATTTCAGGATAGTGCATATTTTCTGCTTGCATATATGTGAACGTTTTTGGCAAATATGATAGACATTCAATAGCTTTCATTTGTATTCGCTTAATATTCTTGTACCTATACTTTGATGAAAGTTATTTCAAATTAAAAAATACTAATTGTAATTTTCTTCATACTTCAGGCAGATTTATAAGTGATTTCTTTAAAAAATTTAAATTGCTATTCTTAGTAGTACACAAATTGGGGTTTGCATTCAGAATTTTGTCTTGCTAGGCTGCTCCTTTACCACTGAGTCATGTTCCCACGCTTTTCAGCTTTTCATGAACTTTCATAGAGGGTTTCAAATTTTATGCCCTAAGCTTGCCTCAGATTGTGATTCTCTTAACAGTGCTTCCCATCACACTCAGCTAATAGCTTGAGATAGAGACTTGCTAACTTTTTGGTCAGGGCTGACCTTGAGAAATGCGCTCCTCTCTATCTCTACTTCCCAAATAGCTGGAGTGACAGATGTGCACCTGTGCTTCTCTGATCTGGCTCATGACAAGTGGCTTTGATTTATACTGCTGAGGTTAAATAATGAGATGGTGCATCTCTTTCTCAATTTGTTGGAAATGTGTGTTATCCATAACCTTTCAATTATATGATTTTATCAGTCAATGCTAAATAATATTTGTGATTTTTATATTTTAAAGACTATTTTTGTCATAAAATAGATGTAGTCCTTAAGGAAACAAATGGATGTGTGTTTTAGTAGTATATGGTATATACAATTCTGTTTTGAAATTCCTTTCATGCCTTTTACTTTTTCACAACTTGGTATTTATTTTTCTTTTGACAGAACGGTTTCGTGATTTACTACTGCCTCCACCTAGTCAAGATTCTGAGATTCTGCCCTTCATTCAATCTAGAAATTATCCAAAGTAAGCAACAGGAGATTACTGGGTATTGAGAAGCACAGGGGCAGAGTGCTGTATGTGTGTTGGCAAGCAAAAACAAAAATGTAATCTTTTTCAGAATGTTTACTAACCAACCCAACTAGGGCATCTTCTACAATTCAGCATCTTGGGCTATTCACAGATGGTACAGAGAAGAAAGACCTGCTACTAACTACCATCCAACTATGGCTGGGGAAGTAGAGCCAGTGTAGATAATAAGCTACCTGCATGTGTCCTACATAATACTGTATCAAATAGGGACAGCTATTATATGCATGATTCCTCATATGGTTTTCTATTTTCGTCCTTTAAATGCAAGTATTTATCCATACTGTCACAATTGATTGTCAAAATAACATTCTAGGTATGTTTTTTCATAATTTTTATTTATTACTCTTTACCATTCTTCTGACATTTTCATACACGGATGCCATGAATGCACTTAGTGGTTGAAGGGCTATGCCTTTTTCTCACATATCCTCTTCCCTAAAGGCTACTGGATACTGGGATCTTGATCTTCCTGTGGAGTCTTGGAGCACCCCTTGTGAGTGTCTGATTCTCTTTATTAACTAGTATGCAGTGAACTAAAGAAAAAACCTCTAATACAAATGGAAGGCCACCAAGATAAAGAAATTTGAATTTGGTTTATGTATATTTAATCAAAACTAATAGTATATTTAAACAAAACTAATCAATCTGCTAAATGATTTGTTATTTGATTGCTTTGCTGGCTATTTACTTTCCCCTAACACTTACATTTGATAACACTAATTCTGATGACAAAAGTTTTTTTTTTATCTTTTCAGATATGGATTTAAGCTTAGTTATCATCAACTGTTTTCTAGGGCTGTATACTGTGCACGGGGACAGGAATGTGCCTATATGGCCTTGTGTGTCTGTATTGCTATTCAGGTGTGGCCTTACCTGAGGAACTGCAGTGTGACTAGTGTGTGCATTCCTCAGCTGTGTGTTTGGGAGCATGAATTCACTTGCAGGGACTGCTGTGTGACTAATGCTTGCACACACTGATGGAGCCACTTTCCTGCCTCCTGGACTCAATGTGCACTGCATTCCTTTGCCTGAAGAGGGAGCCAAAATGGGATTTTAATGATAATCTGCCACTATTTCACTTGTGTTTTTTTTACATTATCTTTTTAGCTTTTATTTATTTTTTGCCTTAGTGTACATTTGTCATACAAGGATGTTTTGAGCTATTTCCATACATGTCCACAGTGCAATTTCAAAATGTTACTCCATTTCTCCTGCCTCCACTTATACTCATTTTATACTCATTTATACTCCATTTCCTTTACAGAATTTGATGGGTTTCTTATGTTTTTATGATACCCGTACACACATGTGTGCACACATACACATACACACATACAAACATGCACACACACACAGACTCTCATAACCTTCTTCCATCTTGTTTCCCCCTCAGCATCTCCTCCTTTCTCTCTTCCCTGTCTTATTGGTCCCTTCTTAGCAAGTCACATGTTTTCATTCCTGACTCACTACCACTAATGTTGTCATCATCATCACCATTTTAGGTCTGTACTCCACAAAGAATGAGAACGTGCAGTATTTTGCTTTTCAAGCTTGGCTTACTTTGCTCAACATTATGCTCTCCAGTTCCATCTATTTTCTTATAAAGGACCTAGTTTCATTTTTTATTTATGGTGAAGTAATAGTCTATGGTGTACATATACCGTAGTTGCTTTATCTAATAATCGATAGTTGGATATTTCTGCTCATTCCATGGTTTGACTATTGTGGACTGAGCTACAGTATACATGGGGATGAGTGTTATCTTTCTAGTATATTGATTTAAATCCAAATATGTGTGCAAGAATCATATAGTAGCATCAAAAGGCAGATCTAATTTTAGTTTTTTGATTTTCATAGTAATTGTGCTAGTTTATTATTCCCTCCTTCAGTGTATATGGGTTCCTTTCCAACAGGTAAAGGATGTTTATCAAGCATATACAGTTTAGCACACACAAAAAAAACACCCGAGGTTTAAACAATCCCATTAATAAATAGGCAAGTGATTGAATAGACAGTTCTAAGATGAAGAAGTGCAAATGTGCAACATTCTTAGCCATAAAGGAAATTAAATCAAAGCTACACTAATATTCCATCTCACCTAAGTCAGAATGGAAGTCTTGAAAAAATAATTATAATAGCTCTACAGTCTTCATGTGTTTTTGTCCTTAGATTATCTTTCTGATAATGTGATGGTCCTGTTTGAACTGGTATTATAAATCAGTAGTCTGGATTTGTTTCTTATAGTTGTGGAAGTTGGGCGTCTAAGATCAAGGTTTTGGCAGACCAGGTGGCCAATCATGGAATACTTCTTGATAGATGATTGCCTTACCGTTGTGTCCTCACGTGGTGAAGAGAGAGAAAGGAAATCAGCTCTCCCCTGTCTCTTCTTACCAGTGCACTCTAGTCTTGTTTTAAGACCTCTACTTTCATAGCCTAACTATACCTTGTTATGACACTATTATAAAATTCTATCACAGAGTTTCAGCACATGAATTGAGGAACACATATTCAGTGCATGGAAGATAATGAAGTTTTCTTCCAATATTTATCAAAGATTCTGTGTGAAATTATTTTTCCAGTGTATAGCTTGTGGACTCAATATAACTTGAACATCTATGAATTAAGAAGTAAAGTCTTCCACTGATACTTCCACCACACCCACCCCCCCACCTCCCCACACACACATTATGGAAAGAAAGAAAACAGATTAGCCAGAGGTTGCCCCAGCAGCTGACTATCCTGGGATGATCTCCTTTCTCTGTGTTCTCATTCCATCAATATAAGGGGAGGGCTCAAAGCAATACTTAATACTTACAGATGATATGGAGATTCAACGAATGATAAATATAGAATATTGTAATTCAACACAGCATGAAGGATAATGCTTCATTTTAGATGATAGCTTAATCTAATCTATTTGTATTTGTTTAAAACTTGTAAATTAACTAGATTTTTATGTTTTTTAATATCTTAGGAAAGTAAGTTTTTCATTGATTTTAATAGAAGCTCTATCAGGATAATTTTCCAGCCTTCCTTGGTTAATATGCAGAGAAGGGTAGAGAAGGATGGGGAGGGAAAGAAGGAGGGAGGAAGGGAGGGAGGGAGAGAGAGAGAGTATGTGTGTGTGTGTGTGTTTATGGGAAAACCATTTGAAAATCATTCCCTGCTATGGTTCTGGGGAACATTATTCTAAAATATAACAGTGTTCATTCATCATAGTCTTATATTTGTGAACTACTATTTGACCCAGTGGACAAAGCCAGGAAGGAACATCTATTCTTTCATCAAGATGCAATTGCACATATTTTCAGAACATGTAGAGGTGTGACAGTTCTCAGAAAGGGTGAGATGAGTGGAAACTGTTTTCAAAAAGAATATACACTTAATAAAAAAGATATGTTGGTGCTTTATTGATTGGGAGAAAAAATGGAGATAATGTACTTTTATTGCTCATTCTTTATTGGTATTATTGTCATTAAATCTGAAGGATTTAGGTTCATAATATATTTAGACTAGAGGATACTTATATTTTCTCTTTATAAACGTCACTTGGATATGCAAAATTGTGGAGGACATTTGAGAAAATTTTATTTATGCAGTTGTTAAGCCAGCCAAACAAGAACTGATAGTTCTGGAAGATTTAATCCAAATACCTATAAAATACTGTGAAAAGTACAGGAATAAAATATGTTTTCTTTCTTCCCAAAAGATCAAGTTCTCCAAGCTGCCTAATCTCAGAACTGTTTAGAAAGAGAAATACTATTTATTACAGAATTCAGAGTTGTTCTTTGGTTTGGTGCTGCCAAAAACCAACCTTGATTGTTTGGACCATAAAACTGTATCCCACCCTAATCTCACTCCCTACTGGATTCTTAAAAATGGGTAATCTCCTTAAATGGCAAGTCCGTAGTTGGCCTTTCCACATTTCATCTGTTCTCTAGCTCATCTTGTCTCTTGCCTAACAAAATTTGTGCTTTCTCTTCTAGAAACTTCTACTGTCTTCAGTTATTTTTGTTATGTCATATATAATGCTTACATATTATATATTATATATATTAGATAAAGTTTATTACATATTATGTTATGTATATGAATATTTTGTATTATTTTTATTATCTTTTAAGGAGGTTTTAAGTAGCTTATATTAGTTGCATATAAGATGGTTCCTTGTGGCATACTTGTAAGTATAAGCAGTGTATTCCAATGAAACTTTTCCTTCCATAACTCTCCCTCTCATGTTCCAAACTTCAAATATTCTCAACATTGTTGAAAATGTTTTCATGAATGCATATATAGTGTTTCAATCATATTTGCCCTGTCCATTGGCCATAATCACTTCTTCTGGTACCAGTCTTCATCAGAGTCTGCTTAACTTTCCTGTATATTATGCAAACTAATTCTCACTCACAATAATAACACATATTGAATACTCTCTATATGACAGATATTATACATTCCTATAGTGAATATCTTTCCCAAAGTTATGTGATATATTTAGATCTGAAATTCTGATATATTTTGCCCCCAAATTATACTTATTTCTGCTGTACTATATCTCATTCAGTCATTAATCATTTCACCCATCCATTTATCAAATAATTATTGAATTATTATCATACACTAGAAACAGTCATAATTACTAAGAATAAGAAAATGAAGAAAGCACAGTTTATGGCTTTGAGGGATCTAGAATCATGTGGAGAAAAATGATAATTAGTTTATTGGATGAATTATATCAATGTGCTACATCTGCTACATCACTACATTGAAAATGAAAAGGAGTTTATGTATAAATTTTATGTATAAAGTTTAGTTTCCTCTTTAAGTAAAATTGACCAGATTAAGTGGTTTCTTAGGCAAAGACAAAAGCATAACAGCATTTGGAAGTGTGAAGGTCTTGAAGGCTCATACCCAATTGCCTGAAACCATATGGAGTGCACACTAAAGTGTATGTACGTGGCTACATGCCCAAACACATACTCACAAGGAGGAAGTATAAAGTGAATTAAAGACAGAGGGAGGTTCAAAAATGCCTCAGCTGCCACTTAAAAAGACTTGCACTTGAACCTGGGTGCTGGTGGCTCCTACAAGTAATTCTAGCTATTCAGGAGTCTGAGATGAGGATCACAGTTTGACAGCAGCCCAGGCAAGAAAGTCCAAGAGACCCATCTCCAATCAACCACCAAAACACTGGAAGTAAAGCTGTGGCTCAATTGATAGAGTGCTAGCCTTGAACACAAAAGCTCAGAAACAGGGCCCAAGTCCTTAGTTCAAGCCTCATGATCAACACACACACACACACACATACACATAAGTTTTATGCAGAGGAGAAAGATAGATTTATCATGGAACCAAGAGAATCTTCTTTACAAGTCTGGGAATCAGACGGGTAAAATCAAACACTTTTACCAAATTTAAGTACCACAAACATTATTAAGATTCAGTTTAAGAGACTGGATAAGTCAAGAAGCTTTTTCAGCCAGGCATTTGTGGCTCACACCTGTGTGGGGTTATGTTAGGTAATAATTAAAAATAATTAAAAATTAATACAGGATTTCTTAGTTGGTGATGTTTATTTTCTTTAAATGTCTTTGGAGTCCAATCCATGTGGAACACCACCTCCTATTTCCCCTCAAGTCTATGTGTATTTGTTTATGTTTCATGGTGTTTAAATCATTACAATTAATCACATCTGCATTCCTCCCACTAAGCGTCAACTCTAATGTTAAGCGTCTATCCTAGTCATCACCTCCACCAGCTCATTCAGGGAACATCATCAGCACTTGAGATATTGTTAGAAATAAACATCTCAGATGTGTTGCCTTAGAAGAAGTCTTGGAGTAGGGCCTCACATTAGATGTTTAATAACCCCTCCAGGAAATTCAAATACATATTCTAGTCTGAGAAGCATCAAAGTAAGACAAAAAGATTTAAGAGACCATCTTAGGGCTTTCCAACTTTTTCCAATATTTTTATTGTTTATTACTGATGTAATTATCCCCTGAGAATAGAATGGTCTAAACTGCAACCCCATCTTCTCTTTGGCAACAGTTTATCAAGTTTGTTTTTCCTCCAGTTTGATTCATCTAATCAGACTGAATCATATGGTATTACCATTTGCAAAAAATGGTGTGAAACATAGTTCTCTAATTTTTTCTTTGCATAAGTACATTACTAAAATATCAACCCCAAATTAAAAGCTTTGCATTACAGACTTTTAAAAATAAACAAACACATTTCAATTTACTTAACATACTTTATTTGATAGTGATATACTTTCTTCACACTGGTGGTATTATTCTAGAAAATTCTATGTGGGTGGGAATGGTAGTATTATTATTAACTTTTAAAAAAACTAATAAAGATATTATATTAAAGTATGACTATCTTTCTCACCAAGTTGTCTAAATAAATTCTATTTTATTTATTATAATATCAGTGTGTGGAAAGAGCTGATAGCAAGTGTGGGAGACAGTATTTTATAAACTGTAAATTACATTTTTGGATTAGTATAGTTTATTTCATTATAATTTGTGAATTTCTCTATTGAAAGATTGTTTAATATAAGTAACAACTTAATCTTAGTGAAAATAACCCCATTTACAAAATGTTAATGAGTCTGCATTCAAGGGGAAAGTCATTAAAATTTCAAAACATGTGTGTACATTGTGGGCATAGGGAGAGGATTGCTCTTTCTTTAGAATTCTCTCTGATTCACAGACTTCTATGAAGGGCCTTTTTATTGATTACCAATAATCATGTCATGTTGTTCTCATTTCAACTATATACTTACAAGGCTGAGGTGTGGCTGAGTTGGTAGAGTTGTAGCCAGTCAGTGAAAGTGTGTCAGGTTCCAAGTTCAAGTCCCAATCTACAACCAAAAAGAGAAAAGGAGAGAGAGAGAGAGAGAGAGAAAGAGAGCAGGAGGGAGGGAGAGAGGGAGGGAGAAAGAGACGGAGGAAAAAGACAGAGGGAGAGAGAAGGAGAGGGAGAGCCTGAAGTATTGTGTTTAATTTCTGTATTTTTTTGTTTTTTTCTCTTCTTTTTTTATTTTTATTTTTTATTGTGAACATACTGTACAGAGGGGTTACAATTACATGGGCAGGATAATGAGTACATTTCTTATCAAGCATTGCAGCATTCTCCTTTGTTTACCCTTCACATCCCTTCCCAGCCTCCCCCCGCCCCCCACCTAATCCTCCCCCCCCCTTAATTTCTGTATTTTAAAAACATATATGGGACTAGTAAATCTTATGTACCATATAAGGTAATTTCTCAAAAGGACAATATATTTTCCATATTAATCTAGTAAAATCTGCATAAAAATAATTGTCATTTTTCTTTCTCTTTTTACATTTCTCAAAAAAACTAGATTTTATCATGTCATCAATTACTAATAATTGTTTCTTAATTCCTTTTCCAAGAAAAGAAAACATTTGTCTTACCTTGTGCAGAAAGAGTAAAATAGCATTTACTGATTGGGAACAGTAGTAAGAGGGAATGAGGTGGGAACTAAGTTACAGTGAGATAAAAGTAAAAAGTTCTAGGATGTTTTTGGTGACCACAGATAACAATTATGTGTTGTATATTTCAAAAGCTAGAAGGATGAATATTTGAATAAATAAATACAAGGAATCTGATTTAAACATTACACAATTGTAAACATGTAAACAATTTTAGTCCTAGTTGAAAATTAAATGTAAACTGAGGGCCGGTGGCTCATTCCTGTAATCCTGACTACTCAGGAGGATGAGATCTGAGGACTGAAGTTGGAAGCCAGCCTGGGCAAGGAATTCCATGAGACTCTTATCTCCATTAAAGTACTCAGAAAAAGCCAGCTTGTAGTAGTTCACTAGTCTTGAGCACATAGAGGCTCAGGGACAGTGCCTAGGCCCTGAGTTCAATCAAGCTCTGTGACTGGCTAAATAAATAAATAAATGTATAAAACACTTCAAATACAAATCATCTGATTTCCCAAGACTTATCAAGTTACTATGTCCATTTCCCAAGTCACCTTGAGCTTGTTTAATTTTTTTCTGTCAACCCTGTGCATCTCAAATTCCTCTTGGTGCATTGTAGGTATAAGATGATTAGCAAAGCAATCTTTGATGTTTATGTAGTATCTGTGATCTTAACAGGTGTTAGCCGTGTCATTGTATTTTGTTGATCCTTTTTATGATGAAGGAAATCAGTTTTAGAGAAGACAAATGACTTGTCTGTGATCTCACTTGTAGTAAATGAGTAGAACTCCAAGTTCTGATATTCTCATTCAAAGTTATTACAAAACACCAAAGAGAAACTATGTGGCAAGTGGGGAGGGTGTGTTGATTGGAATGAAGACAAGTAAGAAGGACATATTTTTCATGACTCTTCGTTGGACAAACAGTATATAAATTTTATCACTGAAATTTATAAAGAAGTTTCTATATTTGGAAAGGTGAAAGCATCATGTTAAATCTTTGGCCTCCATTTAATGTGTTCATCTGAACCCAAAAAATTCTTTAGAGTAGATGTGATGTAATTTTTATTTTTGATTAAAAAACAGTATCAGTCAAATAATTCCTATGAAGCATGTGTTTATTTATGTTATAAAATGAATTAAATGGATGTAATAGAATTGTTCATGTTGTAATTCTGTGATCTCTCAGTATTTACTGAATTTCTGCTATGTTTAGAATGCTATATTCTTCATATCAAACTTAATTTTTTTGAGATGAACAATTACCATTTTCACTGGCTACAGTGTTTCTAAGGATTAATATTAATATTTAAATATATAGTATATATAGATTACTCATGAAAATCTAAATTCTGCTGTAATTACAGCCAATTAAATTTAAATGTCCATTTGTTAATTCATTTAATATACATTTACCTAGCATTGAACTCTTAAGCAGAGAGTTAGCTGATTAAGTTAAGAGAGTTAACTCTTAGCTGATTTATTGTTAAAATGATTTATAACCATAAATGATGTGCATGCTATAAGGCTTATTAATATAAATGTACCTTTTTGAAAAGTAACTAGTGAAGTTATTTTATAATGGAAAGAGCTATAAAATGGGTATGTCATATACACAGAGTGTTTGTTTATCTTGCATATAAAAATTTGCCTGGAATGAGATGGTCAGAGATAAACACTTTATCATAAAGTGGCCATTCCAGGCACCATGGAGGAAGAAGGGAAGGGAGAAGAGATACTACTCCCAGTGGAGTAGTTTCTTGAAGGGAACCTTCCCAGTTGTTCCAGTTGCAGTTCCATTTATACCACAGTAGCCAAAAAATTGCCAACACCAAAATAGATGAGTTCAGTCTGAGAAATGTAGTGTTTTGGCTGGACATTTTGCTTTCCTGATTAAAATTAATGTTCTGTTACTAAGAAAGGGAATGTGCATCTTAAGTGCATACTCAGAATTCTTTCTCATTC